CAAAACACTGACCTCAGCCCCCGTGTCAACCACAGCACTCACCCGTGTGCCTTGCACAAGTAAACTAACAGAAAACCCTGTAGATGGGCGCAGCTGTCCAATAGGTATAGTGGGCTCATTCCCCTCATCCTCTGGTGACCTCTGACCAGAGTCACCAGGCTTGGTCCTCCCAAAGCCCTGGAACTTCCTAGTCCTATCCCGAGCTGGTCCAAGTGGCTCCGGAGTGGAGTGGGGGGCCACAAGCTTCCCCACTTCCTCGTCCAAGGATGCCTCTTCCTCCTCAGCTGAGAATAGCTCCGGCGATTGGGGCGTCTCAAAGCGGACCCTTAGCCTGCGCCGCTTGCGCCTACGCCGCATACAGGAAGGGGGTTGACTAGCACACTGCTCCTTACTCTCCGAGTCTCTCCTCTCTGGGGACTGCTCTGGGTTCATAAATCGAACTGCCTGGGAGGGCCCTCCCTGGGATCCAGGCCTTTCACTCCTTGGTCCCCTCTCCTGGGACTCAGGCCTACGATACCTCTCACCAAGGGGTCCCTTCATCCGGGCTCCGCCCCGCGGCCCATCAGTAGCTACTAACTTCCCAGCAGCTTGGGTGGGGCAATTTCTACGAAAATGCCCCACCTCTCCACACTTAAAACACACAGCGGGCTTCGGGTCTCGCTCTGCCAATCTGGGTGGCTGGGTACCAGACCACTGGGTTTTAGGGAGGGGGGCATAACAGCTTGTTCCAGCTTTTCCATTCTGCTCCACAGGGCTTCCAGCTCCTCCCCAGCAGCAACATTTACCGTCCCGGGATCGTCCTGTTCGGCGTCCTCATCAGAGATCACCTTCCGCAGCTCTTTCTTGGTCTTAGGCCTATGTAGCCGGGAGTGCTGGTAGTACTGCATTCGCTCCACGGCTTCATCCACGGTCCTGGGATGCCCATCGAGCGCGTAAAGGCCAGCGTCTCGGTCCTCGGCTCCATAACACAGCCTAGGTATGGCGTGTGTGTGCACGTCCGGCACACAAGGGAAGGCTCGCGTCGCCAAGTTCAGCACCCTGTCTGCCCACTGACGAAGTGACTCTCCTGGATTCTGATTGGCAGCCTGGAAGTTGAGTTGATGAGTGAGATCGGGGGCAGAGGAGCCAAAACGCTTCTCAAATCTCTGCAAGATCTCACCTAGGCGGAGCTGGCTACTGGTTTCTAACAGCAAGGTGTAGTATTCGCTTGCTGCCCCTTCAAGGGAAAAACATAGCTGTCCATAGCTGGCTGCGAGATAACCTAACGAACTTGTGCAAAAATGCCTTCCAGCTGGTCTTACCATCATACCTAAGGTCCTTATACCGGGGCTTACCCCCAGTGGCTGCCCTACCTGGGTATGGTGTGGTGCCCTGGTAACCAGGTGAGCTATAATGTATTGGTGTAGTTAAGTTGCAAGCCTGGTTAGCCGGGACTGACTGACTAGCATAGAATCCCGGATGGGCTGCCCCATACATGTTAGGTTGAACATGTGCTATTCTCTCCCCCTCCCTTCCAAAATGGCAGGCTGGGGTATTGGGATGGGCAGGACTACAAGTCATTGACACAGGAACACTATGGTGCTGCAGTGCACTGGGCATAGCCATACCATGGAGTGTGGCTGGAGTACTCTCGCCTCGGTACAACACAGACTGGGCGTGGTCGGGTACTGGGGGTTGGGCATGCCTACCCCCAGGATTGATGTACACTGATTGGGGCGCATGGTAAGGTGTGCTTGTGGAACTAGCATATAATGATGTAGGTTGGGGTCTGGCAGCAGTCATACCAGTGTCTAAAGCATATACTTGTGAATGAACCATTGCTGGTGACACTCCAACATTGACAGGGGCTGGGGCAGATATAGTGCGTGGCATTGAGCTCCGGGGTTGCAAATCATCCCCAGGGAGAGAGGGCACACCAAAATTTGCCAGTCTAGGTTGGCTCTGTATGGGTGCAGGGTCCCAGGTGAGCCCTACAGGATCTACAGGCCTCACATGTTGACGATCATACTCGGAGGTGAGCTGTGCAGGCCTCACAGGCCTCTCAGGTTGCTGACTAACACACGGTGTATGGGACGGAAGGGCGGGGTCAAGTGAGTGTGGTACAATCTCACCCAAGCGGCTTGGTCTATAATTCATGGTAGCAGGGCCCCCCAGGTTAGCTGTGTCTCCCACAAGGACAGGGTGGCTACTACTAGCTGGTTGCACATGGCCTAAGGAATACAGATGGTTTAATCCCGAATTCAAGGGAACCTTCCTATATTCATATTTAGGTGGGCTACAACCCACAGTGTTACCAGGTGAGCCACACCTACACGGGCTACCTAGAGAGGCCTCCAGGGAATCACTGGTCATCATCCCTGGTGAGCCAAATTGAGGCTGGGCAAACCTTACCTCTTTTCCTGACTCTCCATGTAATACACTACCCTCCCCACAGGGGATGCCCGAGTGCAGGCCCGGCATGGGTGTAGAGGGACCCCCCAGGGGCAACCCCCCTCCCATGTGGCCTGACATTGACTGAGCAAAAGGTGTGTGACGAGAGGCAAAATGCTCACTCCCGCTATAAGCGTATGGTGAATAACCCCCTCCCCGGGGTATCCCCCCACCCTACCCGGAGTGTGAGGGAAGATATTGTCTGACCGCGTGACAGCCGGGTCACTACCCAGACCTAAAGCCGACACGGCTTCCTCCAGGGACAAATCCATAATAAAATAGTACAAAATAATTTTCAAATAAATCACAGATAATCTATAAAATCACTAAATCACTTGCAATAAATATATACACAAATCAATTCCAGTTGATTCAAAAAATTATTATATCGGAATCAGAAAAATTTTGCAACTATAACACGTGCTCTCAGCACCAAAAATGGCGGCTAAAAACAATGCCAAAAAAAAAAAATGCAAACTGACAGCAGTACGGGAATCTAGCACCGGGCCCCGCGAGTTGGGCACCAGTAAAGTAACTACCGAGGGGTGTAGTACTTATGCAATATTTATTAGCACTATTTACAAATATAAAAAATATTTAATATATACTCTGTCGTGGGTTCTGGCCCGGGCTGACTCACCGTCTCTGCAGCACGTCTTGTTCCTATAGTCCGTTTTCTTTTATGTGATGTTCAATAGCCATAGTAGACATTATTTCATAATCACATAGGGTAAAAACAAACTATAGGAACTCTATTATGTGAGGAGGTAAACAATTTCGTCAAAGGAGCCATATTTCGAACGGAGATTTTAGTGAATATTTTTATGTTGGGATTTACATGCCTAAACGGTAAGCAATTTGGAAATGATAGTGACAGAGAGTCAAATAATCAACCAAATGACTTAATTGAAGCGAACGGCAGTGTGGTCTAGGTGAATAATTCTTGCTATAGTTGGCCGAAGTTGGGGCTTGATTTCCAGACATGAATTATGAGTGGTTGTCTAGAGATTCTGTGGGCGTCAGTCCAAATATCTAGCCCAGCAGAATCTCAATAGAGATTAAGTCGCACAGATACTACACTATGTAGTTAAAACTTATTCTTACAATATTTATAAATTCTATGATTGCATGATATAAATTTAGCTTTGTAACAATACCAAATAACAGCAAACCTAACACATGACAAATACCTGTACAAAAAGATTTCTTAAAAAAAAAAAAAAAAAAAAAAAAAAAAAAAAAAATGTTGTTTCAAAATTGAGGATATTTTTCTTTAAGTTCTAGAGATCAATTACTATTGTCTTATTGGATTCCTGCTATGTTTAATTTTGCCATTTCAGCTTTCTGTTGTTATTTGAAAATGAATAATAATAATAATAATTTATTTACTATGAAACAAAACATATATAATTAAGATGAATAACATGTTGCCAGTTGTATTTGCCACTATCTCAGTCATATCTTCCTTGATGGTGTTAACGGACGTCAAGCTAGAAAAAGAGCGAGGGAAAGCAATTCGTTGGTAATACATTATTGGTGCTGTTCCCGCAGATTTTAAAGCTCTTGCAATCAGAATAAGGGTATTAGATGGACAGACAAGATTCGAACGATTTGTACTGAACAAGCATCGCTCAACTAAGGGATTTCATCGTTTTAATAAGGAATGGGTACCGTGAAAAACAAATGAGAAGCCTTAGAGAAACGGTTATGCTGTCGGTGTCCAGAGCAAGTCCGGTTTGTCTCTTAAACGACTGGATATTGTCCAGTTGTGACTCAGGTCCAACAGACATCAACGAAGGCAGAACGGTTTAGTACAGGAGAATAGGCACGTGAGTTCCTTACAAAAGGCCTATCTACCGTACTTAAATAAACTAACCGTACCTTTAGAGAGCAATTCAGTTCCAAGTTTGATCATAAAAGCTTATTGCCGGATAAAAGAACTTCACCGAATATTGAACATTTTCATTGAATAAGAAACGGATAATAAACGTATGCGAACGGATTTGAACGGATTAACAAATTTGTCATCCATTTGACGTCCGCTAGCACCATCTGGTACGATGTACCTGAGCCTTAAAAACCATCCCTGTCTTAATGTTCATGTTTAAATAAAGGCAGAGGATACTAAACCTTAGAAATTTCTTTTTTTTTCTTCCATATTAATGTATATCAACAAAGAATTATCTTTCTTACATTCATGATAAATAATTGGCCGCAGCTATGATAATTTTTAAAAAGTTACGTTGCATTGGAATCAAATTTTAACCTAGAATTTCCTATGATTATAATCAGGCACAAATTAAGATTCAACGTCAGTTATAGATATTTTTTGCTTCAACGCTAAGAATTCTCCAAAAGAAATCTTTTTTTTATAATTAAACTGCACGCAAATTCACATATAAAGAGGGGAAAATTTGATAGAAATGTGTTTTGAATTAGCTAGACACTTTTAGGTAAAAAAAATAATAAACAATTATCAAAATGAGGGTTGACTCAGAATGATCATTACATGAAATTTACGAAATGCTGTAATGACTGAGAAAATTATTTCCATTTTTCCTTCATTTCAGGAAATACCAACATTTGTTCCCGGGTGAGAGTTATATAATTTTAAATTTGTACCTAAAGTTTATTCAAATGAAACTGTTTTATGTTTTTCCTGGTTTAAATACCTTCTAGGAATTGAGTAATTGAAAAGACTGATTTGAATCACATCTAATATGATTTACTTGTATACTACTTGTGTACTATTATTTTTACGGGAAAAAGGCATTTTTATTAAACATAATAATTCAAATGTTCATTTTATATGTTATCTCAAAATATAATAATGAATATTTTTATTATTCAAGGTATTATTAAAAAGAATTCTGTTATATGAGATTGATTTTTTAAATAGTTAAATCCTTGCCCAAATCCTCTAGATCTGTGTCAAAATGGAAGATGTGTACGAGGTAAGAACTAAATTTCAAAATGCGTTCTCGAAGTAAATACACTTACCTGTTCTGCAAAGGTAATAACAAATTAACCGTAAGTATTTATTTGATTAATAAAAATTATCAGAAACATATTTGTTAGAACAAGAAATACCTTCGACGTTATATATTTTTCCCTGTTAAATAAAAAACTGCATTGTTGTGATTTGTAATTTGTCTTTTAAATTTGTCTTTTTGTAATTAATGTCTTTTTGAAACTTTTTACAATGACATTTGGATTATTAAGAGTAAACAAGTTTTGTGAGGCCTACACACTCTCCTGTCCAAATTTTAACTAGAAAGGAGGGGAGTCGGTCATAAAAGTTTAGCATTAATTCGGCGTAAATGATGATTATTTCTTTAATATTTTAATGTATTTTTTTTTCAATGAAAAATTGTATACAATTAAGAAGAAGAAGGATTACGTTTAAGTAATTTTTTTTTTTCATATCTACGGTTTAATACCCTTGATTAAGTCACATGAATGCTGTATTTTACACAATTGAAATTAAGCGCCTTATAACGATATCAGATAACAATTATTTAATTTCCTACTAAGTTAGTTATGTCTCTCTTAATTGATATATCACTTGACAATGTTCCCACTTTTTGAATGGTAAACATAAATGGAGTCGAGAAAACTAGTTAAGCTGTCCGGTGTACTTCACATAACTTTTAATTGACTTTGTCATGAGTAGCTAACGTCTTACTTTTAATTAATATTTATCTTTAAAGTAACCAGTAGTAACCATCTTCATAAAAGATACACCATTCCTCGTACATCTTCTTTGATTTCTCGCGCATCTTTTTTGATTTCTCGCGGACTTGCGCATTCAGATTGTTTATGCACTTCTTTCATCATTAATGCAACATATCCTTAATGGCAGATCTCGCTTACTAGTAATTACTTTATTATAAAAATTAATTTGAAAAATTGAAAGTGATCTTTTTTCTTTCTATAAAAGGGTTTCAAATTAATTTGATTATATTTTCACATTAAAAATCGACTTTGTAAAGGCTATATAGATTTAAAAAATTCTTTTCCTCTTTTATTTGTCAACAATAGTAATGTTCTCTGTCATGATTTATTAATTACTGCCTGCAGTCGAACCATTTTCTAGAAATTAGGTCACATTGGAATCATATGTAAATCTAGCATTTCCTATGCATATAATAATGAACCATATTTAGAAACAGCTGACAAGACATAGAATGAAAAGAAATTGGCACACTTTAAACTTACTTGTAATTCGATACCAAATGTTGTATTTACTTTAGAAATATGCACTAATTACATTCCCTTTATTTTAGGAAATCCAAGCATATGTTCTGAGGTGAGGGTTAATTCTTTTTTTAATTTATCCCTTAAGATGAATCAAACAAAGATACAATCTGTTCTTCTTGTTCTAACTTCATTTATTGAAATATTAATAATGACAAAAGATGATCAAAGAAGTAGGTTCGGTTTTATCTTTATTGTGTCCTAAAAATTTAATGTTTTCAAAAAGTTTTGAAACTGGCTTAATATGAGTTGAGTATATGACTGTGGTAAATCAGGAGAGGAAATGACATGAAGGAGTACCATTCTGGAAATATGACGTCATTAATTTGATGCATTTTTCTGTTTTAAAGAGAAAAAGCCTCCAAATTACCCATTTCAAGGGTTATTTTCCTTAAGAAAACAGTGTTCACAGCCTTCGTCCATTTAATTTTCGGATATGTTGTGCAAAATTAATTGGAAAATCACATATCTCAAAATCTTTGTGGGCGATGCATGTGGACTTTATTATTTGAAGGAAAATTCCGTTGAAAAATGATGTGATCTGCAACTTTTTAAGAAAATACGGGATACGGGAAATCCGCAAATTTATGACATCACAATTTAGCATTTAGAAGGTCATGTGAGAATAAAGATTTGTATGATTTTTCTGCATGGGATTTCCATGATTTAGAAAACATGAATTTTAATTTTTTACATCACTTTCATATTGAAGAAAAACAGGGCAAGATTTGTATTGATTGTATTGTATTTACATTCAATTGCATTGCATGAATGTAATGAAATTAATAAATTCCTTGCGAGTTGAATTATGCAATGAAAGATTTGATTTTTTTTCTAGTTCAATCCATGCCCAGATCCACGAGATAGATGTCGAAATGGAGTATGTGTACCAGGTATGAATTATTTTAAATAAATGATATTTGAATGGACGAAATATTACAGTCTTCCTATAAAATATTAAAACTTGTGAATATCAATACTTATTATTCTCGATTCCTTAGCATTTGTACTGCTTTTAAGAGGTAATAATTAATAATTTTCTTCCATTTCAGGAAATTTGGATACCTGCTCCCCGGTAACTTACATTAATTACAGTTATACTCCTTTTAATTTTTTTTTATAAAAGAAAACAATTATAAATCTATTAAAACTCGAAAGTTCCTATTAAACATGTACCTGCACGTGTATATCATAAAGCACTTAATTATGTAATAATATATAAATTATTGGCCAGAATTCTGTAATGAAATATTTAATTTTTTTTCAAATAGATAAATCCATGTCGCGATCCTAGAGAACGGTGTCAAAATGGAAGATGTGTACGAGGTATGGGATACATTTAAACTTTTAAAATGCTATGAAAAGTATCAACAATCTTCACAAATGCCACCTGTATTACAAGTTTGGTTTCGTACTGATCAGTAAACATTATGGAAAAATTGCTCAAAATACTTGTGAATATCAATACTTATCATTCTCGATTCCTTAGCATTTGTACTGCTTTTAAGAGGTAATAATTAATAATTTTCTTCCATTTCAGGAAATTTGGATACCTGCTCCCCGGTAACTTATATTAATTACAGTTATATTCCTTTTGATTTTTTTAATAAAAGAAAACAATTATAAATCTATTAAAACTCGAAAGTTTCTATTAAACATGTACCTGCACGTGTATATCATAAAGCACTTAATTATGTAATAATATATAAATTATTGGCCAGAATTCTGTAATGAAATATTTAATTTTTTTTCAAATAGATAAACCCATGTCGTGATCCTAGAGAACGGTGTCAAAATGGAAGATGTGTACGAGGTATGGGATACATTTAAACAAAAGTTATGAGGTATATATATTCTTTTGTAACAGTTTGATCTTTTTATGGAAAGGTAAGGAGGTTGGTTATATAATCAAGTTAATCCATCATTTTGACTTTAAAAGTGGAAAACTCCTGCATTCCAAACATCGTCTTTATTCTTAAGGTCTTATTTCTGTTTGCATTTATCTTAATCGTGCGAAATATAAAAAAAAAGCATAATCTGAAAAAAAATTCTGGGGAGATACTTTTTTTTAAATTCTTGTTTGAAGTTCAATTTTTGAGATTCTTCTTTATTCATTAATGATATTGGTTGAATTTTACCCTGAATATAAAACATGAAATAATGTATAAGGCGAAGGTAGCACACAGTAAAAAAAATGAGAACAAGGTCCCATTTCTTTAAAACAATCGTAATTAATGTTCTATTTAGTTTATCGCAAAATATAACCCAGAGAATTTTCATAGAACACTAACTTTACAATAAAGAGGGGAATATAGTTTATAGAGTGTAATATAAGCGACCTAGCTGTAATAAATAATGGTGCTTTAGCATAAGTAAAGTATAGTTGCCCTTATCGTACATTCATTGTTCAAAACAAGGCTAAATATATTCAATAACTATTCAAATTCCAAATAATAATTCGCAAATTCTAATGTTCGATCTTTTCATTATTATAAAATATTCTCAAATTACCATTTCAAAATAAGCAAATGCTTTTGTGTAATGACATTCATTACAAGGAAACACCCCTGTTTATACCGTAAGAGTAACATTTTAACTTTTATTGTAGTACTTTGTCTCTGTACTTCAAGTATATCTATTTTCGTTGGCCTAAGAATACCTACCTAAATATAGGTAGTGACTGTTCCTTTCCCAAGCGCCCGGCACTAGAAGTGAAAGTCACGTTTCTTTCGGATGTGACCTAAACATACCAGGTCAGGTGTCACGGAAGGCCCTGGCCCTCACTGATCAATGACTCTGATTGCAGAGTATAGGTCTAAGTTTAAAGCCCTTTACTGGTATAGGTGACGTCTATATAAATAATAAATTCTCAGATGGGAAGTAAAACAGCATACAATCAATCAGTGTACTTCTTTATGTAGACTAAAATACGTTTTTTTTTTTTTTTTTGCAGGAGATATCCGTGAATGCTCCTTGGTAAGTTTTTGAGGAAAAGTTTAATTTTAAATGAATAAATAAATCCGGTAATAAAGACTATTCTTCATATGTATTCCTTATTTGTTTTCATCTTTCTTGATATACAGTTTATAAAAAGAGGAACTAATATAAATTTAAGAACTGATTTTTTTTTCTCAATAGGAACCATTTTTACAGTTTAATTTTCTGTTGCTTTAATCGGATACTAGAAGAACGTATAATGACTATCTTTTTTTATTAAGAATTTACCATGCCCAAGTGCCTTTGAAAGGTGTGAAAACGGAAGATGTGTACCAGGTATGAATGGTGCATGCTAATTTTTTTCAAACTTAAGTTGCAAGTAAATTACTTAGTAAATATACTCACGAAAATGTTTTAACAACCAGTATTATAACTATATTTTTGAGGAGAGTGAACAAAAATGGGCATGATAATGAAATCAAATACATTTGAATTCCTACAGTTAGGGAATAAAACGTATTTAACTTTTTCAGCAATGCAAGGCGATGGATGTGTAAGTATTAAAACGGAGAGGATAATGTTAATGATTTCAGGGCAAAAGTTTGCCGTATAAATTTCTGTGCCTTTTGAATTTCAGAGTCCTATTGAACGAACAAAAACATAGGAAATGTAAAATATTCCTATCCAATATTTTTGTTATTACAATGCAAAAAGAATGGCAAAATATGCAATCAAAGAAATTAGAATATAACATTTTAATAATCAGATGAAAGCATTTCGAGATTTAGAAAGCACTCCTTATTGGGTAAAAGGTTGTATGCCTTAAATTTTATTATCTTGCTTCACGTTTACCTTTAAAAAGTAATTTGATACGTTACATAGGAAAGCTTAATATTCAACCTTGTGAATAGCATATAAACACTGAAACAGAGACGTCATAGCTTTAAAATTATGATATTAAAGAATAATTTCTCTTATCCATGTCATTTTAAGAAATGAATGCAAACAGTTACTAATCAACGAGAAAATTATCATAATTCACATAGCTTAATCAATGAAAAAATTGTTCAACATTGTCTTTGAGTATTGATCTTCATTTTCAATTAGCAAAGTACATGATTAATGACAAGATTTTTTTTCTTCAAAAATCAGGCTTTAAGTATAAGGATTTCCTGAGAAAAAATATATTCACATTTCAGAGAGAATGTCAGCTTGATCCAGATAGCGCTTGTGAAAATAACCGTTGTGTGAGGAGACCTGGAGGTGAGCCCTTACTTTGTTTTTATTTTATGTATATGCTTGAGAAACAATAAGATATTTTAAATTCATCAAAATTTACAAAATCTTTTCTTTTGTTCTTTTTTTTCTATCTTAAAAAAGCTTCTTGTCGACTGGGAGGTCTACGTTGTTCAGCCGGGTACACATGCATAGGAGGAATCTGCTCTAGAAGTACGTATCAAGCATTGTCAAATCAAGAATAACATTACATAATGACATTGATTTCAAAAAACCTAAAATTTTGACATGTTATTTCGAAATATTTACCACCATTTCCAGTTTATAGTTTATGTAACTACTTGGCAGTATTTACTCAAAAACCGTTATAATTATGTCTGCCAATAATAACTCCTAACAGGATACTAACAAATAAGTTGATGTTACAGAGATTTCAACAACCTTGTTTAAAGTCAGCATTTCATAAATCATATGGTCGTTATAATGACCTTGCAAGTAAACACAGCCTATCATTGGGTCGTATTTTGATTGACGCACATGTACTAGTATTTTTTAAATACCAATTGTTAGGCCATTGATCTTATACTAAATTTAACTACTAAATATTTTGATTTTCTGATCAATAAATATGCTCATTTGCGGGTATGACCGGTCGACAGGAGATGCTTAATCATACTCCAAAGCACCTGATCCCACCTCTGAAATTTCAAGGGATCTATGTTATATCCCCTGTTCACAGATTTGAGATTGTTCACTGTTACTGTTATCTTCACCTTTATCATTACATTCTTAAAATTAAAGTTAACGTAAATGAATCCTACATCCTGTCATATCAGACTCCAGCAAATTTTCTGGTCTTGCTTTTAAGTTTATAATTATAGCAGAGCTACACTTGGGTATCACTTTCCCAGGTTTCTGTCTTCTGTCCGTCTGTCACATCCTATATCGTTTAAAATGTAAATTATAGGGATTCGGTATGTCTTTTATGTACTGCTTGGCACAATATCTTGGTTTTTTAAATACCAGGTTTACTGACTTCCTGACTTTCAACTTGATCTTAAACCCGCTTCTAACAGATTTACCCTAAGGAAAATATTCAAGTTATCATAAGCATTTCCATGACAAATTTGTCAAAATTAAATTCAAATCTTATTTTATTTTAAGTTTAAGTAACTTGTGCAACCAATTCCTGCTTTAAGGACATATGATACAAACAAAATTTCTTTAAAAATAATAAAAATAACAACTAAAGTCATGTTTATCTAAGTAAAATGAAGTTTAGCCTCATATTATTTATTTTTTCATTCAAAGTTTCCCAAAAGTGTCATTTAAAGTGAAAAAAAGTATATAGATTTATACAACTGAGGGCACAAAATGTGAATATATAAAATTTACAATTTCTCTACATTTTAGAAATTTAAAATTTATATCATTTACAACCAAAATAGGCCTAAAATGTATATTAATCCAGGCATCTATTTTTTTGGTTTGTATCATCTGTCCTTAAGCCAAACTCCATCTACTACAACCAAAAAACTTAAAAAAAAATAATTAAAGCAACCCACTTTCAACATCATTCCAACGGATGAAAACGGACAAAGGGTGTAATCAATAAAAAATCCTAAAAGAACTGAAGTATTTTCATGTTCCGCGTTAGTCTACTGCTATAATTAGCTATTGTTATCACACAAATATTTTTTTTTTAAATATAAATCTAAAAAATCAACATAATGTTTTTTTTTTCTTTTTCAGGGACCTCAAGTGGATGTGTAAGTATTTAATGATAAAAATAAAATGGCGTTTTTAATATTATCACTGAAACGTAGGAGATATATTTATCGTTCAACCTTTTGTTGAACGTTGAACTTTCAACTTTAATATTGTTGAACTTTCTGAACAACAGCTTAAAATTGTAACTATATCGAAGATCATATTTGCCTTCAGGTGCTTGAAAATCTTTTTCAAGGAGCTTAATCATATGATTTGGTACATGTACTAAACGATTGCAAATATGAAAGCAGAAGAAAACGTCTTTTTTAATCGTAATATACAAACAAAAACGAAAAAAGCAGCAATGACAAGTAGACCTTCCTTCATCTTTATATTGCAGAACCCATTTGAGTGTGAATCAACTCCAGGCAACATGTGTGAAATTAACCAATGTGTGAGACGACCAGGAGGTGGGCAATGTCTTTGTCAATCTGTCAAAACTTCTCTTATTGTTTTATTTTTCTATTTTCACAATATGATTTACATTTCATATAGCAACATGCCGACGGGGAACAAACTCTCGACCATGTTCATCTGGTTATAGGTGTAGAGAAGGAGTGTGTACCAGAAGTAAGTGTTCTGTTGCTGCTATCAATAAGATATACTCAGTAATTTAACAATGTTAAACAGGATTTGATGACTGAGTATGTATACCAAAAATAAAATAAGTATCAATGAATAATAAACATATTGAAATAAGAACGTGATTTGAAAATATACATGTATGTGCACTCATCTAATGATCAGTTTTGTAAATGACAACTCTTTGCTGTTATCACATTTGAGCTGTAACTGCACAGATTCCAGTTTCTTAAACACGTCCAATACACAAATGAATTCTATATCTAATTAATCTGTAGTTTGACAAGCGTTTTGAAAATAACAAATCGATAGCTAACGAATAAGACATTGCTAGAGATCTTAGTACATGTATCAAACATATTTCTATACAAAACACTGTTTTTCTTTTTTTTTTTTTGATGTAGAATTACCTTATACATTAGCATGTATGTACATGAATTATTAGGAACGGGATTAACGTCGCTTTGAGTCAATCAAAGATTATTCATTGTTCATGATATGATTGGGGAATTCTATATGTAAAGGCCAAAGCCTCAAGTAAAAAAATCTGAAAAAATGATAAACGCAAATACAGCCCTCTTAACCATGGAGAATAAATATGATATTTTGAATTCTTTCCAGGTTCACAAAGCGGCTGTGTGAGTACTTTTAATATCTTTTTTTAATCTTCATAAAAAAATAAAGACCTATGAATCTTACGGTATATCCTCATTTACTTCTAATTCCAAACTTCAAATATATACTATATACTAGTACCGTGATACTAGTAGTCAAAAGGACAGATATTCAAAGTTTTGATAAGAAATTAACCATACTGAATTTTTTACCAATAATTGTTAAAAGTTAATAAATCACAAAAATAACTTACATATTTTTTTTATAATAATTACATTGAAACTAATCACCAATGCAGCGAACATTTTCAACTCTTTCAAAAATTCTGATCCAAAATGATATTGCAGAATCCACGGCAGTGCGAGTCTACACCTGGTAGCATTTGTGAAAGGAATCAGTGCGTGAGACAACCAGGAGGTATGTAGGACCTTTGTTTTGATATTTTAAACCAAGAACCGTACATGTACAACATTGTTTTTTTTTTCTTTTTCACAACTTTATTTCCATTCTCACAGCAAGATGTCAACGAGGAGGAAACTCTCAGCCATGTTCATCTGGATATAGATGTAGAAATGGAATCTGTTCCAGAGGTTAGTGACCTGTTATGGTTGTCAGTGAAACATACCTTGTGAATAAACCATGTTAGACAGGATTTGAATCAATTTTAATATGTTGAATAAATATTTTAATGATAAAAGAGCATTTTGCAACCCCTTAATGATGATTTTTTCATAAATCACATGCATTTATTGTAATGTATTGTTCAATTAGCTACTTCAGTGCTATTATAGCCAAGGATAGTTATATAAAACAAATGATTTTCAGCTAGACAATTTTCTCAACAAAACAGTTTTAATCTAGTTGTTTTAACAGGAGCGATCTAGAGCAAGGTCTCTAAATCTTGTAATCGGGCAAGGTCTTAAATCTGGCAAAAATATGAATCATATATTTAACTCTTATATCAAAATCACAATGAAAGCCATTACCTTAATCAATTCATTCTTTTAATCTAATAAATATAAGTGACCCTGTCCCTAATTCAATTCAGTGAAATAAAGTCATTATACTGTTTGCTGGCGTCAAACGGTCCCGGAATTGACTTCAGGTGGACACACAACAAAAGAAATGTTCAAGTTCGCATCTTATCGTAAAAACATCGTGCCATTCTTGAGGACATCTTAGGCAATCGTATGATGGCCAGTTGAGTTTTTCATGCTCGAACTTCGTGTGTGTGTTAGCCAATCTTTGGCATGCCAGATATGGCCGAGGCCCTTGCGAAGCTTCATTTTACGTGTTAAATTTGTGTGCTCATTTTGTGTTTCGTAAGACCATCGTTAGAGCATCATCATGTAATATCGTGTTGTCTTGGTATTTACTTCATGTTATTATCTTCGGTGCCATCGGACAATTTTCGCTTCAGGAAGACAATACGAAGAAAACAAGAAGGACCCGGATTACCTTAGGACACACGACTCGGTGAAGGCCTTGCAATGCCGCCGTGTAGCTATCGTATTATAGTGCTATATGGAACCACGGTGTCTGCAAAGATAGTCAGAATCAATCAGCAGAAATGTTTCACGTCTTATGGTAGGGTGGACATGTAAATAAAAGGTCATTCTCAGAGCCTCAGCCAGTTCTGGTCAACTCTACTGATTATAGTCGTAATAATTTCTAAAGCTTCAATGACAGTTAATGTAAATATAGTTGCTACGAAATGGCATATTTTTATGACGAGAAAACCAAAAAGAAGGCAGCATCATTGCTTCTTTTGATGAACCTCGGAAAACAGGTTAAGCCACAATCCCTGACCAATCACCTTCAATTTTATTATCCAGGGCAGGGACATGAAACTAAGTTCCGTGTCGGTCAGGGAATGACTGCCTGACAACCAAAAGAAAACATTGTAACTTAACAACAAAGCTTTATGATAAACGTGATGACTTCAACTTTTCAATCGTCAACTTCCTTACTTATGTAGCAGTATACCTTTATCACCTGCATATGGGGTTTATGTCTCTACGTATGAACAATTTCTAAAAGGAGGCAAGCTGTTGACAAACAAGTTGACGAAACAAGGATATCAACGGTCTCGTTTGAAGTCATCTTTTCGCAAGTTTTTCGGTCGATACAATGACTTTGTCAGCACATAGAGTCTGTCATTGAGTCAAATGCTGACTGACGTATTTCATGCTAATTGTTAGACCATTATTTATATACTGAACTGTCTGTCTTGTGAGACTTCGGTGTGTATTTTACTTACTTCGGCTGTTGATTAAGATGCTGGCCAAATTAGGGGGCATCTTCACGCGTAATACATATTTCCATATTTATATGGCCAGCTGATATCATTTTGGGAGAGTGTGAAGTCAGCATACGCGTATAACATTTGGTTGTGTATTCTATTTAGCGCCTTTGGCGGAAGGCAGCTCCCGCTAAATCAAGTACATAGCTGAATATTGTATGTAAAGCATATTCAGAAATCTTCTGATTTGGCTAAAGAATCAGTTTCCGTCATATATCATAAACACTAAATACCATACGACTGACAATATACAAAATGTAAAACATGACACAAGAATGTTGTAATGTTCTGGTGCATTCTAAACAAATGAAAAAAAAACTTTTAATGTTGCTTTTTATTTTCAGGTTCCCAAACCGGTTGCGTAAGTATTAAAGCATTGAAATTAAATAGATGATATAATCCTACTGCTTTCCGTTCTGTTCACAATGAGTATTTTTAGAAATAACGAGATTTATCACTGTTTCGCTGTCTTCTTCATTTACATTCGCGAGAAATTAAAGATCAAAGTATCATCATATGCCATATTTGCTAATTTAAAACTGGTATCTTTCGTAAAAATACTTCTCTCTCTCTCTCTCACAAAGCGAGCTTTTCATGTTTATAAAACTTTTTACAAACTACTAGCATTGTTTTAATGTCAATATGTATGTATAACAAAACAAAATTATTCAGATAAAAATATTTATTCCAATACACTTACCTATTTAAATTTATATATAGTGACATACATGTAATGAAATAAAGATGTTCAAAACAAGGAGAAGAATATCATACGATAATCAAAAAAAAAAAAAAAAAAAAAAAAGAATTTAAAAAATATTCTTTCAAGTTCAGGAAATAATTTGAACCTTTATTTAGTGTAAAATCAATTCGCGTGGAAAACATACGAGAGTGGGTGTCAATTTTTTACACAGAAACAAAAAAAAATTATTTTTAGATCGAACAGCATATCTGCATTTAGTCAAACTTTCATGAATTTATACGATATGTACATTAAAAGAAAAGGGAAACTTAATGTTTTTTTTTACCTTCTTTAATTAAAAAAGAAATGTAGTTCAGATTGATATTATTTTTATTAAAAAAGCACACAGAAGTGTCACTGGAGATCACGCCATTATTAGTTCTTTTTAATATAATTGCATTTCAATATTTTTATTTGATTTGTGAGTATTTTTTAAACATAACTTATTTAGTTAACAGCTCTTTTTCCTTGCATTTCAATACATGTTCATATCGTTTGAAGAGGAAAGTTGAAGAATTATAACATTCTTATGATCCCCTCCCCCCCTTTGTTGCAGCTTGATTGTGGATTTCATCCCGGAAGTATCTGTGAGAATGATCGGTGTGTGAGACAACCTGGTGGTATGTATTTAATTTACTTTCGTTCAATTTTCTTTATTGGATATAGAGTCCAAATGGAGAATTTGTTTTGTCTATGAAGATATATTTTTGGTGCATACTGAAGCTGGAACTATGAAGTCTGTCGTTAGGTGGAATGTTGACTACAGTTTTTCATACAAATTTTTAAGCTATTATTTTCACACTGAATTTTCTACGGATTTTCCATCTACTTTATCGTGACAAAGAAATACGGCAGGTGTGGTCAGTCGCCAGGGGATGCTTACTCCTCCACCTCTGTTAACGTTTTCAGAGGTCCGTTGGCTCTGCTCATAATTTGTATTGTTTAAATGAATTTTGAGAATGATCACTGTTATCTTCAAATTTCATTGTATTAATATGCCTGGATAAGATAATTGCTTTTCTTAATGCGTTTTATTTTGGAATTTGACACAATCCCTGGTTATAAACTATGTATCTCCTATTCAATATGGCAACAAATATCGTTTAATGAGTTTTAATATTAGATTAAAATCAATTTTCCGACTTTTTAGTTTTGATACTTTTATTTTCACCTGAATGATTAAGATTGACTTACATCAGTAATGCTCCCCGATGATTCTTCACAAGGGAGAAGAAATAAAGAAATCGTCTTTTTTTCTAATACTATATGAATATTCAAATAAATTTTCCACTTATTTCTTTAACAGCAACATGCGGAGGACTCATCACTGAGCCCTGTTCATCTGGTTTTGTTTGCAGGGAAGGCTTTTGTTCTAATGGTTAGTTTTTGTATATTATTACTTGAAACAAGTGTTATTTTCAGCGAAAGTTCTCAAGAACATTTTTGGCAAGTGGATTTCACAAAACAAACCCACCGTACATGTGTGCAGATTAAAATATTTTACAATAATTACCCACTTGAAATGTTCAAACAATGGAATTCCACATATACAGAAAAGAAAAATTATAGGACTCAATGAGATAAATAAGATTTTTTTTAAGTTGTTAACTCTATGGTTAATAATCATTTGAGAGGTAATAATATTGAAGAGAGCAAACTTGAGACTACTGAACTACTTTGGACACAGATTATTTTGGGTAGATATAAACTTAATTTCTAGTACTAATGGGAAAAATTAAATAATTGTGACTGAAAAGATAAAGAATGTTTAATAATGTGATATTATATGTTTTCTTTCAGGGATTGTGGATTACCCAGCTTGCCTAGAGGTATGTACGAATTTAGATTATCATTATGTTGAAAAATACAAATTATCTTGAAAGTAGATTAAGACATTAACAATTTTTTGAGTTGTTCAGAAGCATTTATTATGCATCGAATAACCTTAGATTCATAATTATAGAATAGAAACTGTCGACCTAATGAACGCTGTCGAGAAGGATTCTGTGTTCCAGGTATTTGTTGAGGGGAGAGAGATTTAACAAGATTATACTCCATATAGTGATTGAGTATAAACGTGTAGATATTTTAGATGCAAAACAATTAATTGTTAATAACGATAATAATACAAGATGATAAATAAGAAACAGATTTTGTATGTACCGATTGAAACAATACTTGATTCATTTGGGTTTTTTTTTACTTTTTAGATGACATAACCCCTACACAGTGTAGATCAGTAAGTATCACGATCTGAATTCTTCTTTGACTCACATAGCGGTGTTCAGTATCACAGTCTTATTTTATCTGAATATGAATTCTTCTTTGACTCACATAGCGGTGTTCAGTATCACAGTCTTATTTCATCTGAATCTAAATCTTCCTCGACAACACATGGAGGTGTTCAGTATCAGTCTTATTTCATCTGAATCTGAATTCTTCCTTGACTCACATAGCCGTGTTCAGTATCACAGTCTTATTTTATCTGAATATGAATTCTTCCTTGACTCACATAGCGGTAGCAACTTCAGTATCGCAGTCTTATTTCATCCTTCACTCAGTGGGGATGAATCATATACATAATCATCCAAATCTTTTAAAAGGGCAAAGATTCCATTCCGAATAGACTTTGTTGGTATAATAAATTTGATTTTTAACTAATTTAATACTGTAAAAGTGGAATATATTGCGATGGATTTAATTTCATTATGTTTGCGATCAAAGATTTTTTTCGCGAATATTAATCCATCTTGAATATTGTCGACATATCAACATAGTATTCAGATATCATATACGTGCAATACACTTCCTATATTCTGTAATATCAAATAACTGAAATCATTCATAGTTAGGAAATCCAAGGTAAAAAAAAATGCGGCGGGTTACAGTCAGTTACGAGTAACGTTTTTTAAAATAATTAATCTTTCATAACTCTCTTTGTTTTTTTTAAATTAAAATATTTTTAAAAAAATTACTATATATATATATATATATATATATATATATATATATATATATATATATATATATATATATATATATATATATATATATATAAAAGAATATTTAACGAAGGAAAATTCAGTGACTGTGAAATTAAATGTACCAACATAGAGAATTCTGAAATAGTAAAGACGTGGAATTAAAGACGTTAACAGTATTTTTTTTAAAATTAGAATCCGAAACTATTCTCTTTTTGTAGAGCAGAGATTGTAGAAGTGGATTCCGATGTGAAAACTATTTCTGTATTCCTGGTAGGTGATCTTCAATTTCAGATTACTGTAAGCAAATTACCACAGAAACACTTCAAAAATTTGTATACATGTATATTTATATTCAGTCAATAAAAGAATTCCTCTTGATGTCCATTTGCTTATCAAAGCAATTATTGTTATTTCATAAATCTTCAAAAATCCATCTTAACTTTTAATCTAAGTCCAGATTCCATGGATACAGATGGTGAAAGGCTCCAATAATAACAAAGTTCAGAGATACCTTTACATGATACTTGTGAAACAAATGATCTTTTTATATATTACATCAATACATACTCTAATTGACTTTCCTTCTAAGCAAAACCATCCTACATATATCAGTAAGCAACAATCCTGCATACAACAGTAAGCAAGAGGGGGCAAACATTTTACTTTTTCTGTAGCATTTCAAATTACAATAAACAGCCACAGCAAACACTGAGTTTATATAACTCTCATAAACGTTGCATATTTAAGTTTAAGAAAGTTTGATTGAAAGAATGCTTAACAATGAAGACTTTTTGATTTTTATTTTTTAGATGGATCTCAGTCACAACAATGTTCAAATGTAAGTAGACAATACAAAGTTAATATATTATGCCTATGTTGCTTTAAATTATTGCAGTTCAATATCGTGTGAATATGATAGCTTTCAGATATGTATGGTTTTTCTTTAAATATGAAGTTAAATTGAATAAAAAGTAATTTATTGTGCAAAATATTAGCAAATAATGTGTCTCTGTATTATTTCCATTCTAAGTAGTTTATATATTCAGATTGACAATTGACGCTATTGTATTTTGTTAGCTGAATCCCTGTCCAAGTGGTCAACGCTGTAGGCGAGGCATTTGTATTATAGGTAATTAGTGGTTTTATCAACATCAAACATGTATTTACAAAAATGAAAACTTAATCCTGAAAAATAATGCAAACTTGAAAAATTATTTATCCCAGTACCAGCCAAAATGCCTTTTTTGGCATTGACAATAAAATTCATCTTTAAAAAATATTATTTCAATTATAAGAGTTGTAAATATAAACGTCTATAATTAAAGTTTCAAAATAATATCTTGCATGAATTCATGCATAGCTAGTGCACATCATGTTCTATGATGATATCAATCAACATCGTCGCATAAGTGGAGAATAATAACCTCACAGTTATTGCGGTTGTTGGCAAGTTTAATGAAATCCGTTGTTGTATATGTGTTCAATTGATGGGAAGAGCAAAAATAGATTTTGGTAATGTGAAAGTAATCATTATAACTGTAAAAAGATGCAATTTTTTTAAAGATCTGCCTATATGAAAAAGCACATTTTACGGTCACTTCGTTAACGCAAGAAATATTTTTAGCTTCGGTTAATTTTATGTAACATTTAATGAAACGATGAAATTGACTAAAGTGTAATTCTGATATATGCTTAACATTTTTTTTCAGACTCGACAACCTGTGATGCTGTAAGAAATAGATACTTAAACTATCCGTAAAGTAAAGTACATCAATACCAAAACTGAAAGCACAACTTGTGTTCCATACTTAGATATTTCGAGTTTGTTACATCTACAGAAATTCATTCTTAGTACTTTTATATAACATTACAACATGTAACGATAAAATAAGTACCATTGTAAAAAAATGTCAGACAATACCCAAATGTTCTTTGGAATTCTATTAGTCTTTACATTATCATTTTACTTTATTTATGTTTCAGTGGAGGCCATGTCCAGGTGGACAGATATGTAGAAATGGGCGATGTGAAACAGGTAAGTACTGGTTAGTTCTGGTTAGTTACACTAAAGGACTATATATGATAAGAGTCAAGTGTGGCCCCCATATATGTGAATCTGGTGTGGTAAATTGTTTTTTTTTTTAAGTTTGCAGGAAAGTTTACATTAGATATATCTTCAATGCATCAGTCTCATTTACGTTGAATTTGACTGTATATAATGTCAGAAATTATGCTTTTCAAACAAAATAAGACAGAAATGTGCTTTTTCTTGAGGTTTTTCTTTTGGAAACATAGAGCCAGCTTTGAACAACCAAACTTTTTCTATCAGTAACTAGTATCGGAAAGATACATCTTTGTTGAAGATATAAAGTTTGTTCCAGTCTGTCCTTAATATTTTCTGTAAGAAAAACTGCTTGAAAAAGGCAATTTTATGCAAAACATGCTAAAATAGCGAGAAAAGGGGATATTTCTGATCTCATATTTCTAAATTAATGGCGTTTGGATCAAGTTGAAAATCTTGAATAAAGATCGCATGCATAGCTCTTCAAAGTAAACCTATATATAATGTAAAATTACATACAAATTTATCATAACGTATTTCAACAGCCAAATTAAATTTTCAAAAATGTAGCTCCTATCGCTTTAAGTAGGGCAATACGCTATAGAGCGACGATAGAATAATGAAATAACATTCGATTAAGATAATTTTCCTCAACAAAAACTGTTGACTTTCCGTTGTACGTGGAGAAAGTAATTCTGAAAGCTTCATTTCCGTGATGGTGATGATATTCATTAATTGCTGTCTGTGTTGTTTTTGTGATAAACTATGCATCATTTTACTGGGGTTTGATTGGAAAACAGTTAATTGGACTTGATTTGATACTATGTACCTTTTACAATTTGTTATTTTAAGAATATTCAAATGCAGAGAACACATCGTATCCGTGACAAATGTTTTGACACTTTCATAATTTTTTAAAACAACTCGCTTACATTGAAAAGGCATTTTAATAACCGGGGTAATCTGACAATATAACACAGACACCTGACGTGTGGATAGTGTGTGTTTACCACCCATTTATTTTAAATAGCTTTTTAAAAATCCTACTAGCGATTTTGTTATGCTTATTAAAACTAAGAACTGGCTCCACACACCGCAGATTTATGAATGTTATTGAGATTCACATTTTTGAGAAATTAGCGGCTTTAAATTTATTTCGAATAAATACACCATAAGCACTTCAGTTGCATTAGAACAATACATCGCCAATATCTGTGTTTAACACAAGTATTTGAAGTAACTTCATATAAATTTAAGTAAAGGGTTTTCTGAGTCATTAATATACATCATGTACAAGTGAATTAACCAAACAAGGACATCTTTTGTTTAGTTTTTGCTAATATAAACAAAAGAACGAAGTTGAAATAAAATTTTATTTTCAGAAAATGTTTTCGATTATTCGACTATCGTTCGAATAATGCAATAGAAAAATCGACAAAGAAAAATAAATATTCTGATATCCATAGATTTAAGCATTAAAAAAAAAAAAATAAACTGTACTTTTTTTATTACAACTACCAATTTTAAGGATTGAACCTCTGGATCTGCTAGAAAAGATAACTCAAATTTTGTTACTTCGCTGTTTTCCTTCAAAATTGATTTAAACTCCTGTATGGCTTTTATGCCCCGCCATGAAATGGTTGGGGTATATAAGATAAGATGATATTTATTTTAAGTCGGGTTTTAACAATAAAAAACATAAGCTCTGAAGAGCTATTTTCCGACTAAATAGTTTTACCTCTTTCCGTGAGTCAATCTGTCACAGTTTTCCATTTTTTTTAAATATGCTTAAGGGCTGGTTTTTAGACTGCCTCTTTATATTAAGAGGCAGTCCACCCAAAAACCAGGCAATGGGTGGCACATCGCATGTCATGGATTTTAATTATTTTTTGCATGTAGACTTATTAAAGCAAGTGTTTACACATGACAACATTAAAAAAATTTTAGTGCTCCTCTAGTCCTATTTTTGGTAAATGCTTAATTTTAAGTGCAAAAAGGTCAACATAAGGGTAAAAAAATTACTACGTTTTTATTTTGTTTTATATGTAACAGATACTCAAAAAGCTGGATGTGTCGATGAATATTATTTATAGCATAGACTCTTATCTTTTATTTTATTAATGAATAAGACTCCAATTTATACTTCTTTAGAAAAAATTATATGGTCCAAATTTGAGTTAAGCAAGTAACTTTTTGAATTCAGTATCCAATTTTCATTACGTTATAAAACCCAATACATTACAAGGACAGATTTTTTTTCTTATGTTATTATGAATACAAAGTACAAACTTTTGAATCACTCAATAAAATCAGTGGGAACAGGTATATTGAAAGAAATAAAAGGAGTCAAATTTACCTTTTTTTTTTTTTTTTTTATAATTTTCCCAAATGAAACCGATCCCGACCGGAATTATATAAAGAAAAAAAAATACTATAATTGTAATGTTAAATTTGGCTCTTTTGTTGTAATATGAGTAAAAACTTACTTGATTTATTTTTTTAACATGTTATATAGGTGGCAGGTGCCTTTAGTTTGATAAATTTCTTAATTTTGCATTATTTTCGATCGGATCGGGATCGGTTTTTACTGTAAATTTAGAAACATTTCCTAAATTTGGCTCTTCATTTTAATTTATCAGAAAAATATGCTTGTCTTTTATTTCTTTTCAGTCAGTTAACTGTTTTTAAATGAGTGTAACCATAGATTCAAATTTATGTATTATTTAAATTACTAATGTCTTTTACGTACATGAAGATTACATGTAAAACATCTGATTGAATTCTTAATAAATACTCGGTATTTAAAAAAAAGTATTTGTACATGCATTATGCAACAAATGAGAGCAGACAGCTTTCTATCTTTATTATTTATCTTATTTCTAAGTGAAACTTCTTTTTTTATTTCCTCAGGAATTAAAGAGTAAATTCTATCAGTGGCGAAATTAAACTTGCCTAAATACAGGAAATATTTTATGTGTACAGTCTCGACTTTATCCAAGTTTTTTCTTACCTGTCATCTGTAAAGTCTTTTCCTCTTTTACAAAATTTGATTTTATATAAATAAGAAAATAAGTTCTTTTATATATAGTATCATTATTCAAGAGCCGATAAATCGCAAGCAAAAAGCAGGGGGGGGGGGTGTCATGACATCATTATTTTTAAAAATTGGTTTCATGAACGTGAAAACATTTTAGAATTGGCCAAAATAGTCACATGTTTAAACTCCATATTAAATGTGAGTGTGTGATTGTTTCAATCGCCAAATTAAAAAAAATAAATAAGTAAAATAAAAAAAAACCGAAATGTTTCACTAAACCATCTTCCGTTTTAGTGCCAAATTATAGTGGACATACAAATCACGTTCGGATTTTTTGGTGATTGACGTATTTTTACGAAAAATTTTTGCCTTTAGACTTAAAATTCTTATTTCCTGTTTTTCGGGGGTATCTTTTTTTTGTTTTATTTTATTTATTTTTTTTTTTTTGTTTTTGTTTTTTGTTTTTGTTTTTTTTTTGTGTTTTTTTTTTGTTTGTCTTTTTTTTTGCTGTGCAGGTACAAATTGTAGGTAATGATCTCTGGTTTATCTCATTATATTGATGTTATTTTGATGACAAACAGATCAAATATACAAATATGAGTTTTGTATTGATTGCCCATGAAAAAAAAAGTGGTTATAACGAACAGTGATCGATGGCAAAAAAATCTACAAACAGTAATAAATCTGTAAAAAGATGATATAAACCTGGCCCCCGGAAATTCCAATGGTGGGATCAGGTTCTAGGAGGAGTATCCCCTGTTGGCCGGTCACACCTTCGTGAACAGTATGTATTGAATAAGTAGACGGAACATCCCGTAGTCCAATTTGGTATAAAACAAAGGAAATGAAACACGTCATCCAAAATAGACCCAATGATGGGTGATATTTGCCAACAAGGTCATTATAATAGTCATAGAATTTGCGAAATGCTAACTTTAAACGAGGTTATTGAAATCCCTGTAACATCAACTTATTGGCCAGTAGCCTGTTTTTAAAAACCGTCTTTTTAAAAAATGGCCCTTCAGACTCTTTTTTGAAAATTTCTAATTATTCACTATTTTTTACCCTTTTTATTGCTTTGTTTGTCAGTGATCAATATTGCACAAGTATGTTGTAATGGTATAGACTATTGATTCCAGAAAACAAAGGCAGCAATATGATATTTTATAACTGTGGCATATCTACTCATTATTTTCATACTTGGACTTATGACTTTTCAACTTTATACACAACCATTCCCCATGATAAATTAAAATCCAGGCTTTTTGATATCATTGACAGCTGCTTTTTCAATAAATATACTCGTAAATTTACTTACCTTGTCATTGGTCATTTGCAAAATTATTTCGTTAAAAAACATTCTGATTGTACACACAAGTACTCTGAAGTTGACTTTAAAAAGATGCTTGAGTTTCTAATTGACAATATCTATGTGGTTTTTGGAGACCAGGTCTTCCAACAATCTATTGGAATTCCCATGGGTACCAATTGCGCCCCGTTATTAGCAGAACTTTTTTTGTATTCATATAGAGCAGAATTTGTCCAAAATCTTATACGTGAAAAGAAGAAAACACTTGCTGTGGCCTTCAACTCGACATTTAGATATATGGACGACGTATTGTCAATTAACAATAATGGTTATTTCCATTCTTATGTCGATACGATATATCCCGGTGAGCTTGAGATTAAAGATACTACAGAGTCTGACACATTTGCTTCATATTTGGATATTTTACTTGAAAAAGACGTTAATGGTTATCTAACAACCACGCTTTATGATAAACATGATGACTTTAATTTTTCAATCGTCAACTTCCCTTACTTATGCAGCAATATACCTTCATCACAGTCACCCGCGTGGCGCAGTGGTTAGAGAGTCGCGGCGTAAGGGAGTAAATCCTTACGTCGCGGGTTCGATTCCCACTGTGGGACGTGGGATGAGACCGTATAAACCGAGGTCCCGTGTCGCAGTAGGTGCTGGCACGAAAAGGATCCCTCACTGCTCAATGGCCCTGAGTGCCGAGTATAGGTCAAAATTCGTAGCTCTCCACCGGCAAGTGGTGGCGTCTCCGTATGAGTGAAAAATTCTCGAGAGGGACGTTAAACAATAAACAAACAAACAAAAACTTCATCACCTGTATACGGAGTTTATATCTCTCAGTTGATTCGATACGCAAGAGCATGCTCTACGTATGTACAATTTCTAAAACGAGGTAAATTATTGACAAACAAGTTGATGAAACAAGAATATCAGCAGTCTCGTTTAAAGTCATCATTTCGTAAGTTCTACGGTCGATACAATGACCTTGTCAGCAAATACAATTTATCATTGAGTCAAATGACTGACGTTTTTCATACTAATTGTTAGGCCATTATTTTTCACACTGAATTGTCGACGGATTTTTCCGTTATTTCCCGATCATGACAAGGAGCACACGGTGGGTGTGACTGGTCGGCAGGGGATGCTCACTCCTCCATGGTACCTGATCCCACCTCTGATGTTTTGGAGGTCCGTGTTTGCTATGCATCTCTTTTGTAATGTTTAATGGACTTTTGAGCTTGAATACTGTTCGTTATCTCCATATATTTCATTTCACATGTTTACAACTTGCATGTCAGCGTGGGAATTCGTGTCACCCTGACAAATTTAGTTTGTTTTTTTTTTGTTGTTGTTTTTTTTCATTTTCTTTCCTATTTAAATCTTCCGTAAGAAAATTTTTATTATTTAAAAAGAAATCAACTTTGTGAACGATGTTCTGAAACGAAGGAACTTTTTAATTGCTGAAAATATTCTTTCTAGGTCAAAGTATTCGTTGTGACCCTGAACGTGGTGTAAGTAAAGCTAATTTGTCTTATAAGCTTTTGTTTTCAAGGAATTTATATTGCAAAAAAATATTATAACATTTTGATAAAGGTGAAATCAAGAGGTTTTGTTGCACTCGAATAGATATTTGATGGGCTTTTTTTCTTGACATTTAAATTAGAAGCACTGTTTTCTCTACAGCCCTACTGTGGCAGGGGTTATAGATGCCAGAATTCTCAGTGTGTACGTAGTGGTATGTATTAATGCATAATGACTTCATTCAGTTGCATTCACTTTTCTTCATTATTAAACTGGGTTTAGTTATTCATCATGATAATGTATGGTTTGTTTATCTTTTACAATGAAGACTTAGCAGAGTGTGGTAGTCAGGTGAGTTTACATTATTTTTCTAAGAATATGATTTTTATATTGCAGACAAATTAAAAAATATATTGAATTTTAACAGTGTTTAATAAAAAGATAAAAGAAAATATCATTAAAACAAGTAAATAATATAATTTAACTTTTTAATCTTAATTTAAAATGCTTTTGGAAAATATTCTCCATTCTCCAATTTTATCAAAATTGGTGATTTAAAAAAAAAAGAATTTTTAAGTTTTGAAAAGTATTTGCTAATATACAAATTGTATTAATAGAGACCATGCCAACAAGGATATCAGTGCCGTTTAGGAATCTGTGTCAGAAGTAAGTTGTTCTTATAGAATCATATATATGGTTATAATTTACAAAATGTGTTTTACACATTCAAAGCGTGATGATTGTTCTGGGAGGCTTTATTGTATTACATAGAAAGATTCGCAAGCTTGTGCATTTGAACAGCCAACTCGTTTCAAAATTCACCGATATAAGTTCAATAACCCTATATATTTAATCTTACAATATTCACCCATATAAGTTCAATAACCTTATATATTCAATCTTAACAAAAACCTTCACCTGACATCGATTTCAATTCTATCGAATATTTCCTCTTTCTTTGTCTATAAAGTATTTTAAGGCTTAATCTGCTATTTTTTTTTTAATTCTGTTTGAGGACACAATGTTAATAGTTTGTAAAAACAACAAATTTTACAGATACTATTCCATAAACAACAAATTTAGGAACATTAAATTTTATAATGTCATAATTGTGTGTCACAAATCAATATTTTTTTCAACATGTATGTTACTTGTTTCAGGGGTGACATCTCCCTCTCCCTATCCATCTACGACTAGATGTCAATATGTAAGCTATTTATTTTTTAAATGTTGTTGCATAATTGATTTAGTCTAGGAGGAATTTAAGTAATCCTGGTGTTTTATTATGTATTCCAGAATGGTGAATGTCCAACTGGCCACGAGTGCTTAGGAAGTGGAGCGCAAAGACGTTGTGTACCAGGTTAGTGAAAATACAGAGGCAGATAAAGAATTATACCTCTTCACTGATGTAGATTTGAACGTATCTTATTGTAATTTATAATCATTATACATGTATAAGTAATTTTTAAGTACAGGAAGGACATGGTACCATTTTTAAAACCTTACCACGGCCTCTGAGGTTGTTTTTTTTTTTTTTGCGATCTTTTGTATAAAAGAGAATGGATGGTAAAATTTAAATATTTTGTTGAATTACAAATTATTACGAATGAACAAGCATTCAGAGTATTGCATTAGCATGCTAGTCCCCTACCAGCAAGTGTAATCTGGTCCCCATTAAAAATTGAAAATGCCATAATTCCGTCAAAAATCATTGAAGCGGAACGAAATGCAAACTTGATCTATAACTCATCAAGATGCACTCACATACTAAATATCGGCTCAATATCTACAAGCATTTAGGGAAAAAAAAGTGCGGAAAACCAAGTGGGACAGACTGACAAACAGACAGACAGCTAGACAGAAAGACGGACGGACAGACGCAGAGGAAACCTATAGTCCCCTCCGGTTTCACCGGTAGGGGACTAATAAGTACATTGCAGAAATCACTGAACTTAACAAATATTTGTTTTTCTATGCACATGGTCCTAGAATAAGTTACTAATATTTTACACATGGCCCCAGAATAAGTTACTTGTATTATACACATGGCCCTAGAATAAGTTACTAGTATTTTACACATGGCCCAAGAATAAGCTACTATTGTTTTCCATATGGCCCAATAAATTACTAGTGTTATACACATGACCCTAGAATAAGTTACTAGTATTTACACATAGCCCAAGAATAAGTTAGTAGTATTATACATATTCCCCTAGAATAAGTTACTAGTATTATACACATGGCCCAATAATAAGTTACTAGTTTTATACACATGGCCCTAGAATAAGTTACTAGTATTATACACATGGCCCTAGAATAAGTTACTAGTATTTTACACATGGCCCAAGAATAAGCTACTATTGTTTTACATATGGCCCAATAATAAATTACTAGTATTATACACATTACCCTAGAATAAGTTACTAGTATTTACACATAGCCCAAGAATAAGTTAGTAGTATTATACATATTCCCCTAGAATAAGTTACTAGTATTATACACATGGCCCAATAATAAGTTACTAGTTTTATACACATGACCCTAGAATAAGTTACTAGTATTTACACATGGCCCAATAATAAGTTAGTAGTATTATACACTTTCCCCTAGAATATGTTACTAGTATTATACACATGGCCCAATAATAAGTTACTAGTTTTATATACATGACCCTAGAATAAGTTACTAGTATTATACACATGGTCCAATAATAAGTTACTAGTTTTATATACATGACCCTAGAATAAGTTACTAGTATTTTACACATGGTCCAATAATAAGTTACTAGTTTTATACACATGACCCTAGAATAAGTTACTAGTATTATACACATGGCCCAATAATAAGTTACTAGTTTTATACACATGACCCTAGAATAAGTTACTAGTATTTTACACATGGCCCAATAATAAGTTACTAGTTTTATACACATGACCCTAGAATAAGTTACTAGTATTATACACATGGCCCAATAATAAGTTACTAGTTTTATACACATTCCCCTAGAATAAGTTACTAGTATTATACACATGGCCCAATAATAAGTTACTAGTTTTATATACATGACCCTAGAATAAGTTACTAGTATTATACACATGGCCCAATAATAAGTTACTAGTTTTATACACATGACCCTAGAATAAGTTACTAGTATTTTACACATGGTCCAATAATAAGTTACTAGTTTTATACACATGACCCTAGAATAAGTTACTAGTATTATACACATGGTCCAATAATAAGTCACTAGTTTTATACACATGACCCTAGAATAAGTTACTAGTATTTTACACATGGCCCAATAATAAGTTACTAGTTTTATACACATGACCCTAGAATAAGTTACTAGTATTTTATACATGGCCCAATAATAATTTACTTGTTTTATACACATGACCCTAGAATAAGTTACTAGTATTATACACATGGCCCAATAATAAGTTACTAGTTTTATACACATTACCCTAGAATAAGTTACTAGTATTTTACACATGGTCCAATAATAAGTTACTAGTATTTTACACATGACCCTAGAATAAGTTACTAGTATTTTACACATGGCCCAATAATAAGTTACTAGTATTTTACACATGACCCTAGAATAAGTTACTAGTATTTACACATGGTCCAATAATAAGTTACTAGTATTATACACATGGCCCAATAATAAGTTATTAGTATTTTACACATGGCCCAATAATAAGTTACTAGTTTTATACACATGACCCTAGAATAAGTTACTAGTATTATACACATGGTCCAATAATAAGTTACTAGTATTATACACATGGCCCAATAATAAGTTACTAGTATTTTACACATGACCCTAGAATAAGTTACTAGTATTTTACACATGGTCCAATAATAAGTTACTAGTATTATACACATGGCCCAATAATAAGTTATTAGTATTTTACACATGGTCCAATAATAAGTTACTAGTATTTTACACATGGCCCAATAATAAGTTACTAGTATTATACACATGGTCCAATAATAAGTTACTAGTATTTTACACATGACCCAATAATAAGTTACTAGTATTTTACACATGGCCCAATAATAAGTTACTAGTATTTTACACATGGTCCAATAATAAGTTACTAGTATTATACACATGGTCCAATAATAAGTTACTAGTATTTTACACATGGTCCAATAATAAGTTACTAGTATTTTACACATGGTCCAATAATAAGTTACTAGTATTATACACATGGTCCAATAATAAGTTACTAGTATTTTACACATGGTCCAATAATAAATTACTAGTATTATACACATGGCCCAATAATAAATTACTAGTATTATACACATGGTCCAATAATAAGTTACTAGTATTATACACATGGCCCAATAATAAGTTACTAGTATTTTACACATGGTCCAATAATAAGTTACTAGTATTTTACACATGGTCCAATAATAAATTACTAGTATTATACACATGGTCCAATAATAAGTTACTAGTATTATACACATGGTCCAATAATAAGTCACTATTATATGTACAATATTAAGGATGTTTTCACTTCTATTTTAATTACAGTGATTGTTTGAGATAACAGAGTTGGGCGGAGTTCAGGACACAGTATCAGGACTAATGGATTTGAACACTCGTCATCGATTGAATTGAGCTGTACTTGAATACTGTGATGATAGAGAAAATAAATTCAATAGATATATATGAAATTACTTACTCATTTTATTAAAGAAACAGCATGTACTTACTTTCAAAGTCTTTATATCCACTGCATTCATGTGGAACTTCCCCATGCTTTAATACTAAAACCTCTTTTTTAAAATATCACATATAGAAATATCTGTTGAATAATTTGTTTAAAATTTGAATTTCCATTGCATTAGAAAATCTGTGAGAAAACAATAGGTATTCATGTTGTGAAGGAAAAGGGCATTGTGGAGGGAAAGGCCTAATAATATTATCACAGCAGAAAATTTGAAGCATATCATATAGTAATTGTACAGATCGTGTAAGGTTCATTATTTAACCATTTAAGTTAATTATATTAGTAAAGTTTGGTGCATATAAAAATTCGACTGATACAAAGAGGTGTCTTTAGAGGAAATAGAAATAATTTTTACTTTGGATACGTATGTCATGTTGTAAATTTTGAACTCAATTGGTAGCAGTTAATACGCAATTTACAACATGACAATTCATATAAAATTTGTATTTATACTTCTACCCAGTAAATTCAAAATTTACCTGACACGTTTTTTTCTTTATGCCCAATTATTGACTTTTAATAGATCCCTAATTCACATAAACACTGAGCATGCTAACATGAAAGAAAATTTACATCCCCCCTCCGCCACACTTAGTATAAGATGATTTCAAATGACAGAAGACCAAATTACCAAAGTATATTAGGTGTATGAATACAAAAGCTATCTACAGGTTACAAAAATAAAAAAAACTGGTTCAACTCGTATTGTTAATAGTTTTTTTCAGATTTCAGAAAAAATCTGAATATTCAAAATCTTTCAGCATTGTGCATGAGTATTCAATATTTATTTCCTTGATCAGTAGTATTGTCTTTCTGACATATTTTCTATTTATCCATAAAAATCTGCATTATGACTACTAGTATATATATATATATATATATATATATATATATATATATATATATATATATATATATATATATATATATATATATATATATATATATATATATATATATATATATATATATTAATATATCAGTATATTTTCCTTTTAATTAGTGGTTTATTTCAGAAAATGAAAAAAAAAATGTATCATAAGATTGAATTGTAGACAGCCTGTAAATATATCACGGCACATTTAGTCTGGTCTTGATTTTTAGAATGAAGGCTAGAAATAAGTTTTAACGGCAAATAATTATTATTTGGTCCAGCATAGTTTTTTAAACCTATTTCGAGTATGCTGAATCCGAAAAAATATGCTGGCCTTCATGAAAGTGGCGTTAGAAAGGTCAAAATGGCGATTCAAAATGGCGGATATCCAATATTTCGAATTTTCTCTTAATGTCTTTCAAATAGGAGAAAGAATGTTTGAATATCTCACTAATTGTAATGCAATTATAAAAATAATAAAAGAATGTCAACATTATTACTTTTATTCAGAAAATTTAGTCGTTTCTACACTTAATTCGAATTTTCTCTGATTTCTTTGTCTATTGTTTCTATATTCTGCTTTGTTCAGAATTTTACATTTGCAAATATCCATACACTGCTGATTGGTATTTTTTCCCTCCGTATCTCACTATTCTACAACTGAATGATGATGCAGCCGTAATTTATCAGTCAAAATGGCGATTCAAAATGGTACAAGTTTGAGGAGAAGGAAAATTAACTGATCAAAAAAAAACCAAAAAATCGCCTTTAAGTTGCGTAACTAATACACAGTGTCCACTAACGTGCATCGAAAATAATTTAGGAATAATGCTTCCTATTCCCTTTTATATGCATGTAAAGCGAGCACAATGCCAGGCAGTACGTGATATAAAGATAGGCAGATGTAGTTGTAATCTCACATTACTAAGTCCAATGAGATGGAATGGATGGTCTTGGTTGTTTGCTGCAAACTTATGAATGGGCCATTGCAGAGATTTTTCCGAAATTCAAATTATAACTTACAGCTGTACCATCATTCAGTTGTAGGATAGTGAGATGCAGAGGAACAATCTGCAGTGTATGGATATTTGCAAATGTAAAATTCTGAACAAAGCAGAATATAGAAACAATAGACAAAGAAATCAGAGAAAATTCGAATTAAGTGTAGAAACGACTAAATTTTCTGAATTAAAGTAATAATATTAGCATTCTTTTATCATTTTATATTTGCATTACACTCAGTGAGATATTCACACATTCTTTCTCCTATTTGAACGACATTAAGAGAAAATTCGAAATATTGGATGTCCGCCATTTTGAATCGCCATTTTCATGAAGGCTAGCACATTTTTTCGGATTCAGCATACTCGAAATAGGTTAAAAAACTATGCTGGACTAAATAATAATTATTTGCCGTTAGAAGTATTTTTTTTTATAAATCGGACCAGACTAGTTTGTCGTGCGTTAGTCAAGTGAAATCTGTATCAATACAATAAAACAGTAAATAAGTAAACGTATATCATTGAGGGAGTTAACAAGATTCCAGGTCCCCTCAATCAGTACTATTTCCAGAGGCGAAGCCGAGGGAAATAGACCTGGACTTGGGGAACTGGAATTTTGCTCTCTCAATGATATACTTTAGCTGGTTCATAAAATAGCGCACTTGCGTTTAAACACAGCATGCATTTGTTTAATCATATATAACTTGTTCATGAATTAGCAAATAAGAAGCAGAGCGAAAGCGCTAATTTATGATAATCATCAAAGTAAGTATGTTAACAATTAATGTTGTAGGCAGGACTACTTGAATTGCATTTTCATTTTAGCGGATTTATTGGGTATGGCATTGATTATAATCATTCAAATGACCTTTCTTAATAAAATGTTGTGATGGTATGCTAAGTAAGGTATTATATGTGTGTCAATGTTAAAAGGAGGATTATTACGTGTTTTTTCCAATTATTTACAGATAGTGAACACAATATTACAACAATTATATAATGTTTGCAATAATGATTTATCATTAAGGAAAGAAAAACATTCTACTGTTGTACATGATTCAACGCAACAGAAAGTTATCAAGATGTCATTCTTTTCAGTTTATTGCATAAAAACTAATATGATTGCAATTATATAATGTTTTTATCACATAAAATAAGATTGATTGTCACACTCAATCCATTCACCAATATTTGCATTTAGAACAAAAATGGATTTATAAAAGTACAATAATGTAAATGCACTTGCTATTAAGGAAATTTAATACATAAATCCTCGAGAGCCTCCGAAATTAACTTGTCCGAATCTTTTGTCTGCTTGTCGTTTTCCATACAGGTACCCACTGGAAGAATCCATTCCTAGCCGTCCAAAGCGTTTGTTGGAGTTTCCATATAAGAAACCACGTGATCCTTTGACACCAAGTCTCCAAAAACGCTTATCTTTTTCATCGTCCCGTTTTCCATAAAGGTACCCACTGGATCCGCCTAATCCTAATCTTCCAAATCTTTTATCTTCCTCCTCTCTTTTTCCATAGAGATAACCAGTAGATCCGCCTATTCCTAAACTTTTATATCTTTTGTCCATGTCTCTTTTACCGTATAAATATCCTCTTGACCCACCTATGCCGTAGCGGCTGTAACGCTTATCATCGCTTCTTTTACCATACAGAAAACCGCGGGATCCACCAAATCCTAAACGTCCATATCTCTTATCAACATCTCGCTTACCATATAAGTATCCACGAGATCCGCCCATTGAAAGTGTTCCAAACCTCTTGTCCATTTCGCTTTCCTCACTTTCTTCCGGTGTTAATTCTCCATCTGTACCATCCGGATTATCCAGTAGAACACTTTCATCAAGATTGTTGATGCTGTAAGCTTGCTTTAAGCATTCTTCTGTATTTTTTGTACAGATTTGACAGAATTGAAAAGCTTTGTCTTCACCACAGCAGTCTGTTAACTTGACGGCGATCACCTGTGGAAGTCTGGAACAGGCGATACACGTTTGAGCGATGTCTAGGTCTGCGTCACAGCGCGTGCCTTCTCCGGTATCACTGACGGGGATAGGACTCTCCTTCTCGGCTGCGGAGAAACAAATCAGCCCAAGAAACACTAGAGTCAGCATCTGAATGAATAACAAAAAAAATGTTTAGCTTGAATTTTATGCATATATTGTATTTGAATGTTGCCTCTCATATAAAATTGTACCCATATACCAATATTATTCATGGAAACATATATAAGTATCGTACGGGATTCAAAATAATACATGCACCAGAATACACCTTTTCATATAAATTACTTGTTTTAGTCTATAAAGAAAAGTGATAAAACAAACTTTTTACGAAGTGTTCTATTTAAGTAAACACCATGTCATAGTTTACTGAGTCCAATGCAAACAGTCCACGTGACAATCATAACAAAGTGACAATTATCTAGCAGCCATTAAATAATTATGGCAACAAAGCTCTTAACAAATAGAACATAAAGATCATAAAATTTATGACGAACGTATTTATGACCACCTTGTATTTCGTCATTTAGAGAAGTAAAAAGATCTCAAGTGTTTCATTGATAGGCCACGCAGAGTTCATTTCTGCAGCTGAACATTATGTGACTAAATGGCTTTTAATATATATATTTTGCGCATTGAGATACGACATAAACAATTTAAATCTCAAGTTAACAAGGCCTATGATCCTAATCGGGAATTAGTATTCCCTGTTCTATCAGAATTATTGTGATCAGTGATGTATGTTTGAATATCTCTACATCTCTAGTTAACAAAGTCTAATCGGGCCTCTGTTAACTGTACATGTTGATGACTTTGTCCCGACGAAGCACTAGGAAATTACATTCCCGTACTCAGAAGCGATCTTATCCCACCAATAGGACGGTAAAGACCCGTGTTTGTTAGATGTGAAAACGATTGAAATGGGAGATAGCCTCTCTGAGTGGAGACGATATCAAATAAATAGGATGTCCAGAACTGTTTGTAATAAAGAGTGAGTCAACATTTTAATGGCTGCATTAAGAGGTTTTTAATTACTAGGTCTTATATCAGC